ATGTAAGTAGACTGTGGTGGGGAAGCCGCCCTGAAGGGGGGTTCCTAATTATCATTCTTGAGATATCTGTTTAATGTGCTGAACATGGTGGCAGGGAGGGACCCCCCCAGGAATTCTTCACTACCTCACTTCTGGTTTTGGCATTTAAAGAGCAGGAGTGGGTGGGATGGGCCTGCTTGAGTGGGCTGTTCGGTGAGACCTGTCTTGACACTAGCTGCCTTATTTTATAAGCCAGGAATCTGCCAGTAGTTTTAGGGTTACAGACATCATAGTCTCTGCCATAGCCAGAACCCACATCATTTAGGCCTTACAAATAGTTCACCCAGCCTTTCTAGTTAGGTACTCTGATACTGGAACTTGGATACTTGATGCAAGTCATGTAGCATCCCACTGCAGAATCTGTACCATCAAAGGTGCAATAGTATTACATGAGGACTAGCAGATAGTGTATGCTGTTATCCCATGGTCCCTGCATCAATTGTTTTACTACGTTCACTGTCCTAGGTACCTGGCTTGGCCTCAGGATACATAAACCTACCAAAAGAGACATATTGAAAAAGGCAGAAATCTTATGCGGGCTGAGCCAATCTGAATAGATAAGTTAATTACTCTCTGAAAATAAATATGACAGTCAGGGCCCCTTTGCACATGTAGGTAAAGGCACAATGGGATCTAATGTGTGATTAACACAGTCACGCCTCCTGCCGTGCCACATGCATGACAGAAGATGTTATTGTGGGATCAAGCATTAGATCTCTTGGTGCCTTATAGATGGTGTGGGGGGAGCCCAATCCCAGGCTTCCTTTGCGCAAGCAAGAAGCAAGCTCCCACAGCTGGGAGCCCCCTGAGTTCAGGGATTCCCAGCACTATGGGCGCCCTGTGCATCCCTGTGGCTAGAAGATGTAGCTGCTGCCATCTGCCAGTCCCAGGGGCGTGCAGAGCTCCTAGGGCTGGGAGATCTCAACTACTTTTATCTCCCAGGCTCGGGATGTATGAAGACCTTGGGACAGGGAGATTGTGACAGGTGTGATCTCCCAGCCTCAGGGGTTTCAGAAACCCCTGAGGCTGGGAGATCACATCAGCTGCGTACCCCGTGGCACTCCCAGGGCTGGGAGATAGCTGAGTCCCAACACCAATAGATATGTTGTGGGGACCCAGCATCCACAGCTGTAGGACCAAGAGTCAACAGCTGCATGGGACTCCCAGCCACAGGGGAGACCCTGCTACATGTGCAGCTAGCTATAAATTTAGTTCAAGGCCTGTCTGTAGCTAGTTGGAGCTTTTTATGGCTTTTTAGGTTGGTTGAGGCTTTTATGTCTGGTTGGGGTTTTTTAGGTACTTTGCATGTAGCTCATCTCAAGGTAATTACACAATTAACCAGTTAATTGTCTGATACCTGTAATGTGTAGAGGGGACCTCACTCTGACCTGCTGTGTAAGTCAGGGAGACCCAGACAGAGCTAAAGCCAAGGACAAATGAACTCTGAGCCATAAATAACATACTGCCTAAGTGACAGATTCCTTTTTAGGGGAGTGTGCATGCTTCAAGTGAAACACTCTAGCTGGATGTCCATAGAGTAGGAATACTCCTTCATCAGGCATGTAGTAATTTACATAACATCATGCTTTAAGCCTCAGTTACCAGTTAGAGATTCCCAGTGAGGTACAAACCTGCCAAGTTTCAAAAGCATTTTCACCAACTTCAAGGTATATATGTGGAAAAGGTGAAGATGGAGGGGCAAGAAAATGGAGAAAGAAGTGCAGTATTCACTGGGACTTCCTACAACGATATCATCAGTTCATAGACTCTGTCTGACTCTGCACAACAAGAATTATTAAACCACTTCATGTTATGTTTTGTGCCCTGTAAGATGATCAAGCAGTTGGTCAGAATCATAAAATATAAATGTCTCATTACTAAAAACAATTTGACATTTTGCAGAGATGCAACAGTGTAACCTTGGCATTAATCAGTATAACCCTGGGGGCCTGTGCCATAGATACAAACTATTTTCTTTAAATGAGTGTCATTTGGGTCATGTCTGGGAACACTGCTTTTATCCTACACCAGAACATGTGACTGCCCTTAATGATTTCCCTTTCCTCAAAACATCATGATCTCTCTCCTGCATTTCAAACAGTGAGTTTTCCAGTAACTTGAACTCTGTTATTAAGATGGCATACTATTTCACAGCATATCAATCAATTTTCTGCTTCATGTGAACGTTTTAAAAAGCTTGGTTGTTAAATTTAGCTGCATGCTATGTTAGGAATTCAGAAATGTCTTGAAGGGGCTCTGTGTGAGGGCTGCTGAGCTCAAAATGTCACCACATTTTTTTCTTCCAACAGTTCTGGGGAAACCTGATACAATGTCTACAGTTTGTAGATGCATACATTTTGTTCTTTTGACAGGAAGACTTCAGTAGTTGTCTCTGCCATACACCTTAAAAATATTTCCTTCCAGCTGTCAAGCCTTTTCAGCCAATTTAAATATGTAGTAGTAAGTGTTTGCAATATCGGGTGCTAATACAGTAGTTTCCCTTTTCAGCATTCTGAGGGTTAATTTAAACTCAAGTGAAAATCTTCCTTTCCTTATTCTGGAAAAAAAAAATACTGTAATTGCACCCTTGGCAAACAGTGCAAACAGTACCACAAAGAACCTACAAATGATATGCAGTAAAGACTAAGTAAAATCTTTCTCCTAATGTCTGTTGTTTCTTAAAAAGGATATTGGAACATTATTTCAGGAGAAGGAAGTGCTATGAACCTAAGTTACAGTGATTGTCAGTGCAATTAAAGTAGTTCAGAAACACACTGTTGATTGAAATATATTTAATGCATATCCTAGTGAAGAGCTAGACAATGAAAGATTGTGACAGCAAGAGATTAACCAGGGAAGTCTAGTCATACATATGATGCTGGGGACAGTTGCATTTGTAAAAGGGAAAAAAAAGACTGTTGGCTTCAGAGAATTTGTTCAGTTGGAATAAATAGAATTTTAGAACAGTTGAAGTATCTTAGAAATCTCTCTTATGCATGGTAAAAAAAACAAAAATAATACTGCATACTGGTCAGAATATATAATTCTGCTTTCTGGGGTGCACAGGTCCATTGCAAGCAACAGGAGTGTCATTCCAGTATTTGAGAATAATTCAGCTAATACTGTACTGTACTGTTGAAGTCTTTTGGACAGATTAAGTATGAGACACATGTTTGACTTCCAGGAATTCTTATCCCTTTGAGTCTTCCTTGTTTAAAGAAATATTCTTGGTAATATTTTTCTACAGCATTTAAACTGTGGTCCTATAAAAACACCATATAAGATGTGTAAAGTTATTACCTGTGATCTAAGATGGTGACTCATGTGGGTCTTTTAAATTACTGACATTACTAAGTAGAGCTTCCCGGGTGTTAAATATGCTTCCCTTGGTGTGGAATTTTGCAATAACGTCCTCAAAATTTGTCCTTGAAGCTTTTTTTGCTCAATAATTTATGCCTGCTAAGGGCAAAATATATGCTGAAATAGCACTTTGAAACAGTGCTGATGGGTTTCTGCAGACAGATAAGTTGATGGAGTTCTGTACTTCGCACTTAATTGAGGTCATATATTTGAAGCCTGTTTTAATTTTTAGCTGCTGGTGTTCACTTTTTTCAAAGTCAGGTAGACTAGTTTTTCTGATGGCTAACCTCATTAAGTATACTATTTGCTCACTGAATTTTCTGAGCATTAGAAATGAATTACTGTTCACACAGAGCCAAGTATGGCAGCACTTCCTTAGGTGAAAGTCTTACCATAGAAGAAATTATGGAAGGCCTGCACGAAATCTGTAATTTTTAAGAAGAAAGAAATATTGAAGAAAGAAACAAACAAACAAACAATATCTCAGATATTGTTTATAAGTGATATACTGTAAATCCTATCATTACCATTTTATTTGACTGGAATATTTCCTAATTTACCCTTTGGATGATTTGCAGTATAAAGCTATGCATAACTTCATTTGTACTTGTAAAGACTCTGTACGCCTGTGTTGTGTTCCAGGTGGCGCTTGGCAGTTTGCATTTAACGTGAAATTCTACCCTCCAGATCCTGCCCAACTCTCTGAAGACATTACCAGGTGCTTGAGACATTACATACTTTGGAAAGGTGTTTTGGAATGCATTTTTGACAGCACTCGCACTCCAAATGAGTGAAAGCATGAAACGCATCATGCATTGCTCTTAGCTGCCTTATTGTGATGAGCTGATGGAAATGCTTGATGCTCTAGTAGCAGAGAAAATATTAATGGTTTTACTATAGTTATGACCTCATCCTTTCCCAACTACAAGGCTTTCCTGCTTGATAATGTAACATCAAAATCAGGTAGAGATGTAGTAGGACCACTTTGTATTCTGAAAAATGGCTGCACGGGCTGCTGCTGAGTCAGTAGTCATTATTGCACCCTCCCTGCCCCAAAAGCAGAACCTGGGGATGCTGGCCAGGTTGTCCCCTCCACTACATCCCCACTACACTGCTGAAATCAGGCTTCCCAATATATATTTTAAATAAGTCTTAATTCTAACTTTGGAGTTCATAAACATCCTGGTGCCCCGGGACTGTGTGTGTCAGGGCTATGTATGTCTAACTTCAAACTGGGAGTCATGTGCCCTGTCGGCTGTACCAGTGGGGAGCTCCCCACCACCACCACCACCACTCTGTTTACTGGCCGCGGGTTCCCCCAGCACCACGTGCTGTGTCATGCTGTCCTCTGGGATGGGGACAGGAAGAAAAGCTGGGGGAAGGAAGGGAAGCCTGGAGACTCTGGCTGCCACTACAGCTGGAGTAACATGGGGAGGGGCAGCCAGGGTCACATGTTGTCCATGAGCTGCCAATTGGACAACACTGATGCATGTAAATGTGGCAGGGAAGGGGAGCTTGATTAGGATGGTGGATGTTTTTATTAGCTATATTGACAGTGTCTTAAAACAGAGTCTAATCTAATAGATATGACACAGCAGCTTGGAAAAATGCTATATCTGACAGATTTGGAGTAGTCACCTCACTGTTATGTGCCTAAATTTCCCTCCCCACCCATGTCTAACCTATTTAGACACTCACACCCTATCCAGAAAATCTTATCTTCACCCCAGTGCTAAAACCTTAAAAGACTGTGGACTGGGAAAACAGTTTCCCATTATGGTCACCCTCCACTGCTACTGCTTTATAGTCCTTAATCTGCTATTCACTCGTGCTGTGTACGTGTTGAGGTTTTTTTTTTTTTGCTGTTTGAAGGTACTGACAAAAAGGTCATGCTCAGATTGAGGCCCTACTCTGCTGTGTGTGTGTTTATATGCAGAATGAGACCAACACTGCCTCAAAAAACTCACTGTCAGAGTACAGACAGTAATTCTTTGCTGCTTCCACTCTCTCTATCATATCAACAAGGATCAAAATAGAGAAATTAAGCAACTTGCCCAGGGTCAAACTGTGAACCTGTGGTAGAGCCAACATTTCAATCCAAATCTTCTGGCTCCCCGTTGTGTGCCCTTCCTAGTTCTTCTGAAACTTCACTTCTTTCCATCTGGCACCCAATTACATCATTAATGACATAATTATAGCAGCAGAGCTAGGAAATGTCACTTGCCATTAAAGTTATTTTTAAGAAAATTCCACCATTTAATTATGAGACTTCTCTTTTAACTTTTGAACTTACCAGTTGCTATACAAAAGTGGTGCAGTTCTTTTCCCCTTTAGGAAACAGAATTCATTTTCTTTTCTTGGTTGGGAAAGAAGCTACTCAGTTATTTGTTATTACTCAAGTAGTTATTACAGACAATTCTTACTTTTATAAATGAGATAAAATAAGTTACTCAAAATACCTTTTATGAAGGAAGATACCTTGGTATACTTAATATTCTGTAGGGAGGACTTTGTTACCAAGCACTAATAGTAGCATACTCACTATTTTATCAAAAGTTTTCAAGGTATGTTACAAATATTATTTTAAGAGTTAATACTCACTTTTTGGGTAGGCAAGTCTTAAATCCTAGTTTACAGTTGAAGAAATACGGTCATTGGGGGGTTGCTTTCATTGCCCCATGGCTTACAGCATGTCAGCACACAGCGAAGTCAAGGAAAAAGTGGAAATTCTTACTACTGATTGCACTGCAGCACTTCTTCATGGGCTAAAATAAATCTTGCTCTTATCCATCCTAGGTACTACCTCTGTTTACAGCTGAGAGATGACATAGTATCTGGACGGCTGCCCTGTTCTTTTGTTACTCTTGCTCTTTTGGGCTCCTACACTGTTCAGTCTGAACTTGGAGATTATGATCCTGATGAATATGGAAGTGATTATGTCAGTGAATTCCGCTTTGCACCAAATCACACTAAAGAACTGGAAGACAAAGTAATTGAGCTGCACAAGAGCCACAGGTGAGCAGAGGAAATGAATGTAGAATTCAGTCTGGATTCAACTTTCAAGTTTGGAATAAGGAAATATTAGAATTTGGAGTGTTTTTCTAGGGGACCTGATAATTGTAGACAGAAACAGTCTGTTGGAAAGCAAGATTTGTTATTCAGTACAAAAGAACAATGGGAATGGTAGGGATTGTTATGAAAGATGTCATCTAGGATGTACTTTCTTGTGCTGAAGTTTACTCTATACAGTATTGTCTTGACGTTGATACTAGAAAAGTTTGCTTTTCTTCAGGGGAATGACACCTGCAGAGGCTGAGATGCATTTCTTAGAGAATGCCAAAAAGTTATCTATGTATGGAGTAGATCTACATCATGCCAAGGTATGAATTATAATTAAAATCTTTGTTTTATGTTATGAGCCCACTTCTATTCCCTTCCTCAGATCAGGCAGTATTTTATTCTACAAGTAGACCTGCTGATTTCATGTTTCTTTTTCCTTTTAATGGAACAATTGTGGAATGGGTTATTAGTCAAGGGGAATAAGGTGTAAACACAGTTGCATCCTGTAGTTGTTGTATAAATCAGCCAGTTAATTCCAGCTCTGTGAAGAGCTAGTAAATTTATGTTTAAGTATGTAAATCTTTTTGGGAAGCCTGTGATGTATAGACAGTTAACATAATGAGCCACAAAAATGCTGAGTAGAATTATCTGAAAAGTAGGTATGGATATTTTTATCAGAAGACATGAGAAGCAGTCAGCTGTCATCTCGCTCTGCTAGATTCTCTTGTTTCTATAAATCAATTACAGTATCTCAATGACACAAATGAACCACTACTAACATTGCAGAAGCGCTTCAAAGAACTTCTTTAACTGTATTGGAACCCAGTCAGGTTGATGATAAACGACCTGAAGGCTTTCACTCTTTGAAGAAAGAGTAGGTGTTGCAGTTAGCCCAAAAGAACAGTAACTCTCCAGAAATCAATCCTGGAAGATGAAACTGTCCCAAAAATCATGAGCTAGTTAAAGTATCAGATCAAAAGATGCTCACAGTCTCCTGGCTGAGAGATTTCCAGTCAATTAGTAGTTCCGTCAGTCTTTTTTTTTATTTATTTCAGTGTTCAGATAAGATTAATAGATTCTAGCAACTGTGACGTTGGTAAATGTCCTTGACAAATGGATGCTGGACAAAAGAGCTCGAGCTATGAAGGAGCACCGCTTCTTTTTGGAGGTCAAATTACTGTGGACCCTTTCTCATTCTGCATCAGATCCTTTCAAGAACTAAAATAAACGTGCTCCTTGAATCTTGAAGGGGCCTTCAGCCATGTCCCTTGGGCATTTTGTAGGAACTGTGTGTATTGCAGAATTCAAGGCTGTCTTTTGTATTCTATTAATTGCCTCCACTGAAAATATAAAAGCTGTGTATGGCTCAATAGGCAGCATTCTACCAGAAGGCATGCTGTTGCTTTTTCTGTCTCTTGCATATATGCGGAAGATCTTGAGGCATATTTAGAGTGAAGCTAAAACTGAAATAGGAAATGTCAGTCCTCTCTGTAGTTTTTTTTTTTTTAATATCCTTCATCCCACACACAGAGGTCAACAAATTAAAATGGTGAGTTTCTGGATTGGTGAGTGGTGAGCTTTACAGGTTTCATTACGAAATGCAAGAGTCATCTTTCAGTGGGGCCAGATTATTTCCCCAATTTCATGTAATATTTCAGGGCAGCTGGCTGTGCAGAGTCCAAAAATGTTCTGTGTGAGAAATATAGAAAGGGTGAAAGCAAAACAAAAAGTATTTTTAAGATGCATGTTTATAAGGTTATATGTCGGCATATACAGGCAAAACTGTTTTAAACATGTAAACTTGTCTGTTCAAATGTCTTCTATGCCTTCCGGCTCTTAAGGTAATAGTCTTTTCTCGTGGAAATAGTGAGACAAATTCTGCCATCCTTGTGTCAAACTTCTTCGCTTCTTTAATCAGTGGGAGGATGGTAGCCAAAATGAGTAAAGATGGCAGAAGCTACCTGTGAATGCAGTTTATATTGCCCCAGAGCCTGTGGGTCAGAAAACACAGCTTTCTTAAAGATGTGGTAGTGGTAGAGTGAGGTTGTAATTCTAATGGTCCAGGAATTATGCAAGGCAAGATTTTTGGGGGGTGATCTCTTTTGTTGAATCAGCTGTATAGTTGAGATAAAGTTCAGTGCTTTGCATTCAAAAGGTGTCTAACTTTATCCCAACTACAGTTGGTCTAATAAAAGATATCATTCAAAATAAATCCTCGCCTCTTGCATTTCTTTACGTTAAGTATTCTGAAACATTCCTTTGCAAAAAAAAAAGTATGATTATTGCATGTGCATTTGTTGCATGTAGACTTCACACCTTTATTTGTGTAAAAAAAAAAAAATTTGCTCAGCATGTGTAGCAATTACTTTGTGCTGAGCAAGATGTAAAATCAGAATCCATAACAAATCCCAAATTTAATTTTCCTGAAGTACATCACTATGCTAAAATGCAAGAGTTTTACTTGAAGTCATCTTCCTCTGAGGAACAGTCTTCATGCTCTTGCAGTGTCCTGTATTGAAGTCTTTTTCATGCAATGCTAGCCTTTAAGTACTATCTTGTTCTTTGTTGTATATCTCACCTTAAAGTTTAGAAAAAGCAGTTTTTATATTGCAGGAGAATTTTCGAAGTTCACTTTGGCCTCTTCATCCAAATTAACTATGCCCAGGGTCTTTCTGTTCATCTCTAAAATGCAGCCAGAGTTTGACTATAAACTTAAAAAATGATTTGCTGGTAAAAGTAAAAGAAATCAGGGAACTCATTTTATGTCTCGCTAGCATAAAACTTTTGTGATTTCTGTTGTAATGCTGCTATAACTAATTTATTCTATTTCCAAAATACCTCTGTGCTTAAGGTGATAATGCTTCTGTTTCTTATTGCATTTACCAACTTCTTATGAAATAATTGCAATGATAATAGACCTGCTGGTAAATATTTAATTAGACACAACTGTAATCGTAGCTAGCAATGATGTTTCTAGAATATTCTTTGAGTTTTTCATAGGAGAAAGTAATGTATGCACCTTACTTAAAAAGAATTAGGGCATGTACATGTAATAATTGCATCATTATTAAATGATACCAGTACAGGCTGTTACAACACAGCTGTCATGTCTGTTCTGTGGCAACACAAAATATAAAAACTGCTCCAAATTTAATCCTGCTTCATTCATTGTCCCAGTTAGGGTGATTTAGCTAACTTGTATTGCTACAGGCTATGCTGACCCATCATTTAGAGCAATGGTCTCCAACCTTTTTTATCATGCACCCCTATCAGTAAAAAATTTTTGAGCACACCCCCCACAATACATGTACTACTCAGTGTAACACTGTACAAAGTTTGGAGACCACTGTACACTGTACTACTGTACCTCCGCATTGTGGAACTCCCACTCTTCCCTCAGGATACCTGGCGTACCGTATGTGACGTGACCCTCTGACACATGGACTGTGAGGGCACCAGTGTCAATCTGTAGATTAAACATTAGTAAAGCTTAATTTCTTTCTTTCTTTTTAGATAAATATAAATAGAAGTTCTGATATTTTCTTCCCGCACCCCAATGGATCATCTTGTGCACCCCCTGGGGTGCGTGCACCCCACTTCGAAGACCACTGGTTTAGAGTATAAAGGTTGCACACTCCTGAGTTCCTCCCATCTTTTAAAATGGATAAAACATTTGCTCTTAATTGCAGCTGTATTTTGAAAATGTTGTAGTTGAACATTGAGATCTGTGTGAGGAAGGCAGTAAAGTAAAGTTTGAACCACAGCTTTGTTCCTTTTTATGTCAAATGAATGACAGCTATTGCACAAGTATCATAAGTACACTTTGACATCCATTCCATTTTGAACTCTACTTTTTGCTGCTTGTGTTTTCACTTACGGTAGTAGAGAAATGTAGTAGTAAAAGTACTGGGCCTAGATGCAGCTAGTTTAAATGAGAAACAAAATCAAAACTTTTTCACTTCAACACCCAGGGTTTTTTGGGTTTTTTTACCTAGATAAGCCTTACAGCTTTTTGCATAAATTTAAATAATAAGTAAAAAAAACTGTACATGCTGAATCATCCACAGATAATACAGCTGAAGTGCATAGATCAGATAACGTTATACAGAATATTTGGAATGGGTGAGAAGAGATTAATTCCTTCTGTTGCTTATTTTATCAGGATTCAGAAGGAGTGGAAATCATGCTTGGGGTTTGTGCAAGTGGCCTATTAATATATCGTGACAGACTTAGAATAAATAGATTTGCCTGGCCAAAAGTTCTGAAAATTTCGTACAAGAGGAACAACTTCTACATCAAAATCCGACCAGGAGAGGTAAGATCCAATGTACTAATAAAGGTAACCTTCTCAAAATGTTTTTGCAGCTTCATCAGTTTGTTTTTTGTTTGGGAGCTTGTTGCATTATTCTTCACTTACACCTTTTAACCGGGACAGATTAGTTAAATACTTTACTGGAAAATGGCCAAACTACATACTTGTTGGTATTCTGGTAGCATCAGTAGGGCAACATGAAGGATAAATTTAACTTTTATTTATATGTATTAGTGACTGTAAGGAATATAGTCATAAAGTGTGAGTATAGTTTATTGGGTACCTGCCTTTGTAGTTGGTCAGAGACCAAATCTGGATCTATTTGCTTTTCCTAATAAGAGATACGGGCTAAACTCTCAGCTTTGCAGATACCCTGTATGACTAGATTGGTGGAATGGAAACCCATCTATTAGTGGTATTGTTATTTAAGCATGTTAATCCTTTCATCTGAAGTTCCTAAAGGTAATAGGAACTGTTGTACAAAGAGTGCTCTCTAGTGCCTTAATAGATTGCGTGGCTTGTATATAATCACACACAGACACACACACTCTCCTTTTCCCCAAAATCGGATGTCTATATGAAGTGGAGAAGCTGTTTCATGGGAAAAGAAGCATGTCTGGAGCTGCCATGCAACTGCCAAGATGGCTGGTGCTTGTCTCAGCAAAATGAAGGGGAGGAGTCCTATGTTAACCTTCTTGCATCTGTTGTCTGAGCACTTGAAGCAACGAGTGAGCTTCTGGTAGTGTCTTGATGAGGCTTGTAATGTGGAAACAACACTTTGTTTACAGAGACTTATATAAAAGAACTACCTACAGTAAAGAACTAACAGTCCTGCAAGAGAAGTAGCAAAGGTCTGGCGCCTAACCCAGTATGACATCCCAGGAAACAGTCTGGGTGAGGCAGCAGGAACTTCTTGGTGTGGTAAGAAGTGCCTGCTGCCTCACCCACACCGTGTCCTGGCATGCCATAGTTCTTGGATACACTGTTTCCAGGAGGACTAACTCCAGTGATTCTCAACCGGGTTGATGGGGCATCATCAGGTCCTGCCATATCCTTTGAAGGGTACCACAAGTTGTGAGGAGATAAACAGATAAGCTAAGCAGATAAGCCTGGGTCAGGCTTATCCCTGCCTGGACATCCCCCACCTTTACTACCCAGCCCATGTGTAAGGCAGTAAGCACTATAATGTATACATTAATTTTTGAAATTGAGTGCCCTTCTATTCATATAAGTTATGGAATAGTGCCTTGAATCCAGTGAAGAGTGCCCTGAGTCCAAAAAGGTTGAGAACCCACTGACTTCCTCTGTCACACAGCTGGACGTGGATTTGAAAAAATCTTTTTCCCCCTACATCCTGCTTTCCAAAAACAAAGTGTGTGTTATATTTGGGAGGCATATTATATGCAGGATAATATGGTACATAAGCTCATTATGTATTCTAGCACATGCTCCATGTATGGGTGGAGAGAAACAGCAGGTCTATTGTGCAGTAAGTTGAATGTTCATTGTAGTAAAAGTGGAGCAAACACATGACAGCTTTAAATCAGTGTAAGTGACTTCAGTACAAGGTAAACCTACTACTCAGGGAAGTGAAGTATAACTATGCACTAGTATACTGGTCATGTGTCTGCTTCCCTAGGCAGTTTCATCTGGAGGTAGTCATTGCTCTGTGTAAACCCCACCTCCCTCTGCCATCCCTGCTGCATGGTAACCATGTGCTGTTATAGGACACGTGCAGCAAACTTTGAAGACCTGTTCATGTGTATATGCCTTATTATAAAGTAAATGTATGGTAGAATAAAATTCATAGTAAATTAATCATTGTCATGTGTCTGCATTCTAGATCTGTCTCATAATTTGATTCAAATATTGTTATCAGAGAAATAGTATGACAAATGTTTACAAAAGACCAAATATCCTAGGAGGAACTCAGTGTTGTTAATAGGAAAAGGAAGTGTTGCATTTCAACTGCAAGGGCAGTAGCCACAGCAGTCCTTGAAAACAAGTCTGGGGGGACACCAGATTTCCAACGGGGGATCCTCCAGTGGCCGATCGCTGAGCCAGCAGCAAGACCGGCGAAACCAGAAGTGCGCTTCTGCCAGCACTTCCAGGGGGTGCATGGCCAATCTCAGGCGGCACATGTGCACCTGCGTGCACCCCCTATGCATCACCAATGCTTGAAAAAGCACGTAATTTCCAATCTCATTTCAGCCATTTGGTATAGACACAAAAATTTGTATACTTCAACATTAAGAACTTTAATCAATCTTGAGGCTCCTACATTAGGTGGACATTCACTGAAGGCAGCACAACAGAAACAGATTGGACAGGGAAAGGGGATTGGAGTGGTACTTAAGGAGGGTGCACAGCTTAATTTGTCACACCTGCCAAAAATGTTGGCTACCCACTGCTCTAAAAGCTTCTCTCTTAACTGGCTTTACCAGACAAAAATCAGGAAAAATATACTATGTACGTATGAAGTGTTGTACAGATGTGCATTTAAGCACACCCTAATAATGAAGTTTTATACCTATTAAAAATGAACATGTAATTATTTAGTGTATAGGCTAAATATATAAATATACAGTTAAAATAAATATACAGATTTTCTTTCTTTTTTGTGTGCCTAGTTTGAGCAGTTTGAAAGCACTATTGGGTTTAAGTTGCCAAATCATCGTGCTGCAAAACGTTTATGGAAAGTATGTGTGGAACATCATACATTTTTCAGGTATGTGGTTTTTTTGGGGGGCTTGTTTGTTTTGTTTTATTTTTTAATACATGTAGAATAAAGGATGATAGGAAAAAAGTAGTGTCCGCCTTCCGTGCACTCCTCTCAACCCCCCCCCCCCCC